AACCATTTAAATCGATTGCAAGTTACTTTTCCGAGTGTCGATATTACGTACGCAAGGGTGTCGATATTTGGTTCAAGACAAATTTTCCCATGTCGATAACTGGGTCAAATGGTACTTTTCATCAAATTTATTTTTTGCATATAAATTACGCATTGCTATTTAAAAAGTAAACATTGCAAAGCAATAATCAATATTATAACAATCCACAGTAAAATTGTTAAAATACAATAAATTGTTAATATGCAAATTTTTATAACGATATGATTTAAAAAATCTCTTAAGGTGTCGATAATTGGGACGTTTACGTTAATTACAATTGTTCGAGTGTACGCAGTGTCGTAGAAACAGGGATTGCTTAAGCTTATTGTCCCATACAAACTTTGAGGTTAGGTTTTTATACCATTTGATGCTATTTTTCGATTACTCAGTTCGGCTACTATTAAAAAGGTGTACCTCTCAAACTTCGATAAAATAAACCGTTTCCGAGATATCCGAGATTACAATAATTGTTATATGGGATTAAAGGACTAAAAGGTATATGATAACAAATTTTTTAATTGAAAAAACTACAAATTTTTTTAATGTGACGGTCAGGGCAAAAAGTTTGCCGTTTTTAGTTTTTTCAATTAAAAAATAAAATTTGTTATCATATACCTTTTGCCGTTTTTAGTTTTTTCAATTAAAAAATAAAATTTGTTATCATATACCTTTTAATCCTTTTAAATAATGCGATATAACAATTATTGTAATCTTGAATATCTCGGAAACGGTTTATTTTATCGAAGTTTGAGAGGTACACCTTTTTAATGGTAGACGAACTGTATAATCGAAAAATTGTATCAAATGTTATAAAAACCTAACCTCAAAGTTTGTATGGCATGATAAGCTTAAAGCAACCCCCGTTTCTACGACACTGTATTCACTCAAACAATTGAAGGGGTTAGAATAAAAAGGGTATAAGTAACATTTTCATTTTTTGGAGATATTTGAAGTTAAAGTTATGTTACCATAAAAAAGTGAAGAATTTTGTTTAGTAATAATTTTCTACTGGATAATAGAGGTCCCTAGAAGTATGAAAATTACTTAAATCCTTTTCATTTCGATACGTCGGAACCTTATCTTTCACAAAACGAACTTATCTCCTAAATTAAAGAAATTGCACTTATACCCTTTCTATTCTAACCCCTTCAATTGTAATTATGTGTGAATATGTGTTTTGGTAGTAATTGACTGTTCGCAAAATATCACGTTGACTACCATAGTAGAAGTTATATTAAAAAACTGATATGATAGGTAACACTTTATCACCCTGTATCTTGGAAACATAAGTAATTAGGAAAAATATTTATTTAGGTTTTCGTCTTATTTTGACTTGCTCAATCTTTTCCTAAATTTATGCCAATAAGTTTAGGGACACCTTGTATAACAATGTTTTGGCCTATCATATTTTTGATCAAAATTTAACAGTGGAAAAATATGTCGAAGTTTTGGAAACCAAATTGGAAGATCCCTGGATAACCTGCCAATTGGGGGGAGATATGGACTATATTTCCAACAAGATGGTGCACCAGCGCATAATGCTCGTCGATCTGTTGAATATTTAAACTTGAATTTTAACGACAGATGGTTGGGTACAAGAGGGCCGATATTATGGACAATTAGGTCACCTGACCTCACCCCATTGGATTTTTTTATGGGGATATATAAAAGATAAAATTTACTTAACTCCATCCAACAACATCCAAGAACTAAAACAAAAATTTGAACGTGCATTAAGGAAAAAACCAAATTTATTTATATTAAATGCAACGCGCAATTTACGACAACGTTGTGAGAGTTGCATTGACCAAAATGGTTTACAATTTGAGCATCTTCTTTAGTTGTTATGTTTTCCTGGTGTATATAAAAATATGTTATAACAAAAAAACAAATGTTAAAAAAATTAAATATTAAAAAACTTTTTTTGCGATAGTTTGTTATTTAAAAAATTTTGAGTATATTGTGCTATGCAATTGATTAGAGTAACACTTTTTCTGGCAAACTTTTTACAAAGCACTCATGTTTTTTTTGTTGAATCTTAAAATTAGTTTTTTTCTATGTTGTGGTTGACTTATTTATACCCATAATATTATACAGTGCTTGCAAATCCAAGTCCGACCGCGTTGGGAAGGATGGTTGTTCAGTACCGGCGTGAAAAGAATAAGGATAGAATGCCAAACAGAATTTAATTGGTCAGAGCGTCAGGCGTGCGTATTGTAAGCGCCTTCTGTTTGGCGTTCTATTCTTGTTATTTTCACGCGTCTTTCCCAAACCGGTCGGACTTGGATTTGCAAGCACTGTATATTATTAAAATCAGAAAAAAATTATCTTTTTAACAAAGTCAGAGCCAACTATGGTTTTCATTAAAAAAAACACAACTTTGAGTCGTTTCTCCTAAACTAAAAGAGCTAAAAAAAATCTGCCTACGCCAATGAATTCTGTGATAAAAAGTGCCTATACAATGTATTAATCCTGTATTCGTAACTCAAATATTAACGGAGCTATAATAAATTATCAAAATTGACAAAAATTTAAAAATAGATTATAACTTCTAAACAAATTAGAATCTAGAAAATTCGAAGACATCATTTAATGTATCTTTAAAAAAGACGATAGTACAGTCATCTTAGTTAAAAAAAGGGATCAACCTCGGAATCTAACGGAATAAGCTGAATTTTTGTGAAAACCTTTATTTTAGCATTACAAATGTTGTCTCAAAAGTCACATATGCCAACGTGTGAGCGGCCTTAGATATTCAAGGTCAAAGGTCGCAAAAATCAGTTTCTTGAGAATATCTCGTTTTCTCAGCCTCCTATCGTATTTGCATTTATTATAAAAGTTGTAGAGAATAAAATTTTCTACAAATTTTGTTTAAAACATTTTTTTATACGTCGAACCGTTTTTGAGATAGAGGTCGCAGAGTGTGGAGCGCTCATACGTACCTTTAGCGCAAGGTAAATCGTGAATTCCAATCTATTATACCGTTTTTTTAATTAATTATATATTAAAATAAAAATTTAATACCTTATACTTATATTATACCTATTTATTTTTCTTTTAAATCAAATATAGGTATTTTATCTTAATATATATCTTATATATTAATTTCATTTTAATGAAGGATAATTAGATCACAGTAGGAAAAAATGTTTTATTTATATCAATATTATTATTATTATTATAATTATTATTATTATTATTCTTCATCTTCTTCATCCTAGTCTTCTTCAGGTTGGTCAGCAATTTCAGACTTATTCTCATCATCACTCTCCTCGTTATCATTGACATTTATTGTCATACCTTTAAAAACTTACTTATAACGCGTTTCTACTTCGCAGATTTTTTTGCCTCTGTTGCTTCATCTGCGACTTCACCACAAAATAAGCACAATATTTTAAAATCAAACACATCATTCCCTTTTTTACGAGGTACAGTTGATGGCGTTGAAGGTCCAGTCTCTTCAAGGCGACGTTTAGCTGCTGCAATTTTACTAGCAATATCTGGATCCAAGAGATGACCGGAGATAATATATTCAAGGCAAATTCATTTAATATCTTTTCTTCTTAAAATGCATTTATCATTAATTAGAATAACATTAGAATATATCGCTGGTTTGGTGCAAGACTATCGTAAGTCCATTTTCTAAGAATTGGAGAAAAACACTATTGAACATTTCTATTTATTGTAACTATATTGTTTTTCGCGTCATTCTTTTAAAAATTGGAAGGTTTTACATCCAAAGATTAATAAATAAATACATATTATGCAAAAAACAATTTCAGTCTTGCACCAAACCAGCGATATTTAGAATAATTCACTTCATTATTTAATTATTTGTATGTCAAAAGTAAGTAATATTTAATGACTATTTGAATTAAAAAAATATATAAAAATAAATATAAGGTATTAAATTGATATTTAAGTAATATTTAATAAATAATTAATTAAAAAAACGGTATAATATTGGGATTAATGATTTACCTTGCGCTAAAGGTACGTATGGCTGAGCGCTCCACACTCTGCGCCCTCTATCTCAAAAACGATTAGACGTATAAAAAAATGTTTTAAACAAAATTTGTCGAGAATTTTATTCTCTACAACTTGTATAATAAATGCAAATACGATAGGAGGCAGAGAAAAGGAGATATTCTCAAAAAATTGAATTTTGCGACCTTTGACCTTGAATATCTAAGGCCGCTCACACGTTGGCATATGTGACTTTTGAGACAACATTTGCAATGCTAAAATAAAGGTTTGTACAAAAATTCAGCTTATTTCGTTAGATTCCGAGGTGAAATGCCTAGATGACTGGACTACGACGGGGATGCGTGGTCGAATTTTTTCTAGCATTTATATTTACTGAGATAGCCTGTATGGACAACCAATTTGGGACACCCTGTACAATATAATATAATATACAATATAATATGAAGGGACAAGAAGCAAAAGGGTACAAGTGAATTTTAGCATGAGTTGAAGTGCAGAATTGGGTAGTCCAATTATTTTTTTAAGTTTCTCATAACGTGAAAATTGTACAAGTTCTGCATGTTGATTAATGCAAACAAGAATATTGAAACAAGCATCCAGATTTTTGTATATAGCAAAAACTTTAAAAAGTAATAACTTCTCTTTTTTGCACTTGTAGCCTTTTGCTTCTTACCCCTTATATTATATTATATAAATAATAGGATTTCACGGTCCGAGAATGACTCTCACTGTGAGAGTCTCACAGCATCATGTGTAAAATACACAGAGCGCTTCAGCGTTGCCGAGTTTTTAAACCTAAATGCTTTATAACTCAAAAACATATTATTTTTGTATATCTATTGCCTCTTATTTCGTTAGTGCGCCATTTTCTGGACATCCTTTTGCCATATCATGCCTTAAATTTTACAAACATAAGCCAAAAATGTATAATATACATCCTAAAATAATTATTAATAATAAACTCTATTAGGTACCTCTGCTTGAATAAGCATGATTTGAACAGGTGAAACTTCAGGTCTTCCTTCGTTTAAAAATGTCAGTTTTCCTTTTAAAACATTGTACAAGTTTACAACATGCTTCTGATCAGATTCAGAGTTTTTTTCTTTAGGATTTTCTTGTGTTTTTGTTATTTCTAATTTGCTCCCTGGTAAATCATCAGATTTTACAAACATCACCCCACCTTTTTTAAATCCTGCATAAACTGACTCTTTCTTTTCATTTGCAGAAGAACCAAAACCCTTTTTTTCTCCCTCATCCTCTTCATTTTCTTCTTTTGGCTTTTTAATATTGTTAACTAGGGATATACCTATCCTTCTTTTTCTTTGGAAAGCTTTTGTGTCGACTAATTCGTTTTCTGCCTTTGTTTCTTGCTCTGGTTTTTCTTCTACATGAGGCGTATTTAGAAAATCTTTTACATCAATGGGTTTTGTTATCGGAAAAAGGGTACTGTGGGAAACTTTGCTTTCAATTATTGGTTGTTGGATGGGAAATATAGATTTTACTTCTTCATTTTCATCATCCTCGCTATCACTATATCCAGCTACCAAAGAAAACCCTCCAATTGGGTTTTCTTTACTATGACTTGGTTGTACAATTTCTGGTTTGGATTCATTGGAGAAAGATGATTGTGGATTTTTTTTATTTGGTAATTTTAATTTAGATACCTAAAAAAATTGTATTTAATTACTTTTTATATCAAACTAAATTTGTTTTGACCTCAGAATCTGCACATTCTCAATTGCTAAACAAGTAGCAAGAAAACTCTAGCATTAAATCATCATAGGCACCTTAATTTTAAAGCTTATCAGATTGAAAACTTAGCATTCATGTGCATTTGATTTTTGCATCACCAAATTTTTTCATCATTTAATTTAAAGGTTCATTTCATAGAAAATTATCATAAATACATTATTATTAATTGTTAGCACAAAATTAATATTTCTTTCAATTTACAGTTCTACAAAAATTACACACTGACACCATAGTATATACTGAAGGTCACAAGTTTTAAAGTAATAAGGATTTAGGATAATTTATTAAAATTAAAAAAAAACTTGAATACAAATTATTTTTTTTCGAGCATATTATATTTTCATATTAGGGGGCATCCATTAATTATGTGAGGCATTTTTCTATCCATCAGATGAGATTATAGCTATTAAACTTTCTTTGCTGACAAGTAAAAAACAATTTTTTTTAAATTATAATACATATTCTTTAAACTCAAAAGTTGACGTGATATTTTAAATGACCCCCTCCTTAAAATGAGATTTGGTGAGATTTTGCTAGAACCCTCCCCCCATTTTTATTGCCCATGATTAATGGATTTCCCCTTATAACACTCATAAGTCTATACAGGCTGTCCCTAAATTATTGTAACAAAATTTGGTCACAGATTCTTGAGACAAATTTAGGGTACACGTATTTTTTATTTTTGCCTATTTTTTAATTTAGAATAATTCTTGAACTTGAAAAGGTTGGACTCCTCTAACGCCTGAAGGTATAAAACCCGTAATACAATTTTTCAATTTCAAAATAATATTTTGTTTCGTTGCTTAAATAAGTCAACTAAGGCAAGTTTTGCTACAGATATATGACATCTGGTGATGTCAATACTGATAAACAACCACTTAAGATCTTTTGGAATGCAAAAGGGATCCTTCCAAGTTCAATATTCAGGGGGTGTCAGGGTAAAATATGCAAAATTAAATTAGTTAAATTATATAAATAATAAACCGGTTACTTATACGAAAATACTATTACACTGTACTACGAGTACACCCCGTATTATGTTTGCAAGAAGGTATACCTCTCTACGGGACGTCCTTTTGTCAAATAACAATGTACCAATTTATTGTAAATATTAAAATGTGTTATTTAAATAGTTAGTTAGTTAAATAATGTGAACTTTGTTAGTATTAAGTTAGTAATAGTTTTAATTGTTATGCTCAATACAATTGTTGTAATTTAGTTTTAAGTTTTCAGTACCTAATCTTATTATCGGTCAAAAAAACCAAATAGTTGAACTTGAATTTGTATGTATTATTTTCCAAAGTAGTACCGAAGTCGGTACTATAATAATTGTTAAAATATTTTATTGTAAAAACCAATATTTCGAAAAAAACCAATCAACCAGTACAAAAGTTGACTAAGGGCACACTTAAAATTATTAGGTATTTGACTGAGCTACTAGACTAAAAAAATATCTATCTCAAATGTCTTTGCCCACTTAAAAATGTTAAAACACTATTTTATCTTAATTTTGCCATGTCACACATATGGTTGACTTTTTCCAACTTTGGGGAAAGACAAAGAACGATATATGAGAGGGGGTGGATCCAAAGTCGCTTAAGTCGATTTGAGCAGTGAGGTTCCAGTTCTAGTTGGGTGCGGACGTTTTTCCAAAAACTCCGTTCTCTAATTCAAACTTGTGTGTAACGCCAGTTGTAGCCATCTTGTTTATTTTGAATCCGACGCCGCGACATCGCGCCCTCTATCGTACGAACGCTTCAACTTTGTTTAAATTTCCCGCCGCGTGTATGTGCTGCCACCTGCTGGACAATCAATTAATTGCAGTGACATTTAATTTCAAAACCTATCGCCGTGAGTGCTGACACCTGTTAGTAGTTGTGTAGTAACAGTGAACAAGTAGTTTATTTAAGTTTATTATTAATCATTTGAGGATCGTAATCAACGAGTAGACCCGAAACTACAGGTATGCCAAAACATGTTATCATTGTAATTGTTTTTCCAACGTAAAGAGAGTAAGAGCCATTTCATAAATAAATTAATGAATCGGGAATATCTACCTGCCTACAGTCAGTTAAATCAGGTGACAACACCCTAGTACTACTGATGTTAAACTATTCCATTTTTCACCAAATAAATACCACATCAGGCATATATTGACGGTATGATCTGCACCGGAAGTCAATATAACATTTTTCTTAAAAGTATATAGACACCTTACATTATTAATTGCTTGCATGAACTAAACGCTTGTTGTAAGGCTGTCAATATACTGTTTAATCGCGTTCAACCTGGGAGTGTGATAATATTAAATTGACAATACATCCTGTACCTTCCGATATCCTGTAGGCTCAGCGGAAAAGGCTAGACCCAACGATGCGAAAACCAACATTGAAACAATTCCCACCGAAAAGCTATAGGGAACCACATAAAAGAGCCACTAAAGGCAATCCTTCCCAAAATAAAAAGAAAACTTCATAAATATTAACACACTTCCGCAGAGACTAGTCGTCACCCTAATATAACAAGGTTGTATGTTAAAAAAAACGAAAAATTTAAGTCTATGTTTCTACAGGATTATACGTGGCCTACGCTTCACATACCACTTAAAAATAATTCTATAGAATGTATATTCTATGTTTACATATATATAGAGTTATTTTCAAGTTGTATGTCAAGGGTGGATTACAAAAAACCTTGTAGAAGCATAAACTAAAATTTTTCGGTTTTTTAACATACAACCTTGTTATATTAGGGTGACGTAGTGTTGATATATGAACTGATGAAAAGGTACTAATAAACACCTAACTACTTCAACATAACCAAAACAAACAAAAAATAAACAGAAGCAGCACTCGATCGTAACGATCGCCAACAAGTTAAACAATAAAAGAGGCCCAAGCCCACGGTAAATCGAGAAACGACTTACACCCGTTCATCGATTTGACTTTTATAATAAAAAAAGGTTTTACCATAATCAGCCCCCGTAAAGCAGGGTAACTGTGACTTGATTTTATGACTCTCGGCAGGTTCCTCGTAATCCTCCGGCTTAAATACCGACTCGGGCGCCAGGTCAACGACCGTGGCAGTTTACTGTTAAAAAAGGGGTATAAAACGAAATATTGGTTTCCACAGTTGCTTTTGTTCTCTTTAATATAAATAAATAAGATGGTTAGAAATATTTGTTTGATTGTTTGTCACTCTTCCTACTTTATTATGACGAATCGGGGCTAGACGTATTCGTGGCCAAATTAAAGGTAAATATAGGTATTAAAGGGTACATTAATTAAACACAACGTAGACCGGGTCCTTTCCATTACAAACTTCACTTGGAAATTCATAGAATCCAAAACCCAATCTTTGAATATTTATTTTTGTGGTTCATAATGCTTTCTTTTTTCTATTGTAACGAAGTTAATTTTCAGGCAAACATAAAAAACCCAGCTTATTTATCGAAGCAAACAACAAATTCCTATCCCTCATTTTTGTAAAATCACAAAAACTGTCGAGACTATTGGCTAACGATCTGGTCATAGACACGCGCGCACCTCATGCACTACGTGGGGGAGACGGAGCCTATATAACCAATTGCAAGCACAGCGGAGTACCTCTCTTGACTCTCAGCCTTCACGATCCGGTGTGCCCTTGTATCCGTAAGTTTAAAAGATTTGCTCTATAATTTCATTTTAAAAATACGTCCTGGTAACCAACCCCGTGTGCCGTTCTCCACGAACCGTGACCGCGACCCTCCTCAGCCCCCTACCTTATTTAATTGCATTTATTTTGTCCTACTGGTAAAAATTAATTTATTCGTGTTTACTTTGGGATGTTTATCTGCTTATATGTAATCATATTTGAATATATCAGTATTTCTTTAAACAATTATGCGTATTTATTTATGCATTCGTAATTATTTGATTCATTAATTTAGTTGATTAATCGAATACACGAACCAATAACCTCGTACATAACCGACCTGCAGACCCTGATTCGACATCACGGCGCGATTTCCGCAGACCAAGAGCTTCAATGACCATGCTGATTGCAAGGACCTTCCATCCTTTACCAAAGCCGTGAAAGAGTATGGTGCGCTGCGGACAGTGTTGGAGCGCTGCGGACAGAGTTAGTACGCGCGCCCAATGAAAACAACCGGCCCGCCACCAGAGAAAATCCCCAGACCCGACAAACAGTGCTGAACCCCCCAACCCCGACAACCTGTTGCAAAAAGGCATTAGTCATTATTCAGTAAACACACAAAAATACATACATACTTTCTGTCAAACATAAATTATTAAAAATATAAAAAAAACTTTAAACAAATAATCTAAGTAAACAGAACCAGAAGAATGATGTAAACAGGTTGTTAAAAAGGGTAAAATTTCCAGAGCCAAAAAGAAGACACCCTTAATTAGTTATTAAATAAAGTAGCCAATCACAGGCGTGCTTTACCAGAATGAGTAGAGGTGCAACAAACTTAAAATAATGTCTAAAAACAAAAACACTGACAACTATACAATTAAGGTCAATTTACACTTCGAGTGTAGAAACTGATCTAGGACGTCCAGAATTATGAACGAGCTTACCAAACGATCCATTATCCCGTAAACGTTAATGAATTTTACTTAAAAAGCGACATGACGGCAGCTATTTGGAATAGCTTCAGCATAAAGAATCCGTGCTTTTAAACCATTGCCAATGGCACGACCGTATATGAAATGCATTTTTACCATTTCTGCATTTAAGTAAAATTCCAAAGCAAATTTATCAGTAAATTTCCGATTTGTTAATGCAAAGTAACAAGAGAAGAGTGTAACAAAATTGACAGTTGTATTTATTGTTGAGGCATTGTAGTTAATTAATAAACATTGCTTTTTTAAATACTGAAATTAAAGTTAAATAAAAATTTAAAAAACAG